ACGACTTTGGACTCGGTGCGTTCTACATAGTCTCCCTGAACACAAGACCAAGTTGAGACAACGAGGTCAACCCACAATCCTTGTTTGGTTTCCCGTGAGAGTATTTCATGAATTCCTTCAAACCAACTTTTTCTTCGGAATGGAAAGTCATCTTAGTGGTGATTATGCCGCAATGGGCCCACTCGAAGAGATACTCATTCAGGCCGCATCGGAAAAGAAACCTAGTTCCTCTAAGTTATGAAGGCCAATATAGTGTGGCTTTTAGTATGGTCGCGTTCTCCTTTCTTTATACAAAAGTCATTTGACCTTGCTTTCGCAACTTGGACATATTGGCAGAAAGGCCTAGAGTAATGTACCTTGTCCGGAGTCCATAGTATACAAGATAATTTTACAGATTCGGACCGTGGACATGATACATTCTCAGACGCTTCGCCGACATCGTCAGTGAGCCTTACCATTCTACAATTCGTCAAAGAGACAAGTGAAATCGATCCTTTGACCAATTGTCTCCTGCATAGTAGTGGTATCTCTTCTTCTGTACCGGTGTATTCACCTATCCTATACCTTCATAACACCCCATCATTATCACAATTTCTCATTTACTTGTTTAAACCTAGTTTTAATTAGCCCTTTTGAGCGGATTTAGGGCGGGTAATTCAGTATAATTTAGACTGTTAAGGACGAATGTGATTTACTTGAATGACCATTATTTTCCTGATAAAGTTCAACTGTAGTTCAATCTGGATGAGACCACCTTTTAGGATTGTCGATTAGGGGAAAGTGCATGGCATCGCGACGATTGTATATATTATTTTGAGAAGATTCAACTTCCAGCGGGTATTTCCATCTACTGATAGTCCCGAAAGGTACTTATTATGCAAATAAGGGGACAAAGAGAACAATTGTGTCTAATCTGGTTTCGCAACTTGTTGGTGCTGTCAGAGCGGCTTATTTATACGCAACTAGTCCGAATTCTTCTTCTTTAGTAGTTTTCATTGTTCCCAGCATTCTACAGAAAGTTGGCAAATTGATTGACTTCACTCGTATTTTCGACGAGTTGTCGTTTGGTGCTGTGAATGGCAAACTAACTGGCATTGCCGACTCCGTTGGAGGCTAAACGTGTGGGAATGTATGAAGACCACAGTGCCATGCTGAGAATTATGATAACTATTATAGCAGAGGACCTCGGAAAAGGTGCATCCAACTAAGTCGCCCTGACAACAAAACGAAAACGAGTTCACACCACTTATATACGTCGAAAGAAGACTTCGACCAAAATAGAGACCACAACATCTTGGTCTTCATAACCACGCTTAACGAGATTGTGGTTTCGCTGGCCATCCTCTCGCCGTTGCATGCTTCCGACTTAGATTCGTCCGTGCGTCTGTTTATAGACCTTTAGCTTCCTGGCTTCATTCGACAAGCCTCGACATGCAACCCTGCGAGCCTAATTGTGTCGCTCGCCACTGTCCCCCGCAGTGCAACCTTTTGTCAGGTCGTGAGGCTTCTGCCGCGGCACCAGCCGGCAGCCCCTCTGGTCTTTGTCTGCACATGTCTGAGGGGAACGACTATTGTCTGCTTGTCTTTGCCAAATGTGTACATGTGTGTCGTGGTGTCGCACACTGTCTGTCCACATTGTCTCCCACGTCGTCATGTGCCGACATGTTCTGTTCCGTGTTGGTCGGAGAGCCTTTGTAACAGCACGGGACCTCATCATGGCCTGACTTGGTAAAATGGCCCACTCTCCCTTCAGGCCTCATGTCCGTGAGCTCACAGACTCCGTCTACTCATCCCCTTCACCAGTCGACGGGCTGATAGGGCCAGGGTCCG